CGAAAAAGAGGAAAAAATATTTTTTTAGAAATTACGAAGAAGCATCTAAAAGTAAAGTCGGCAATACGATATACAGAAATGAAATTTAATTAAAATGGAAAAAAAGAGAAATAATGAGAATAATTGAAGACTAGCTTGCTTACCATTAAATATATATATATATATATATATATATATATATATACCTATACTTTAATATTTTATTTGGAATATTCGATACGGAAGCGAATAGTTGTCAGTAGCGGCACACCACCACTCGATTGGATACCCCGGAGGCCCAGTAATTCCGACTTTCTCCCACAGCACAAATCAAGCGAAAAGAGAAATGACGCGCCTCGGTGTATTGCCACCACCATCGCTGGAAACAACATAAATACTGTGGCTAAATTTTAGGTGCACGATTGGGTCAAGAATAACTTGAAGTATAACTTGAAATTGCATGCACAATTTGTGTTTATTTATATATTATACATACACTTGCACACGTGTATTTGTAGGCCAATATTTCATTTATCTTGGAGGACTATACTATGTTACTGTAATGCGCTAATTTTTGAAATCCATGTTCAAAAACAACGAGGCATTTCCCAAATATATTTTTATTTTCACACTTTTAACTAGAAAGTATCTTTAATAAGAAAATGAAATATTAAGTTTAATTATTTGAGAAAATGTTTTTAAAGTCTCAAATAAATTTTAGCATTTTAGCGTATAAATGTTTTATGCTTTTTTAAAGGATGCGTGCATTTTCTTTCATGAGCATATTCACATTCATCGATGCAACGATGTCGTTACTTTATTTTTATTTCATCGTCATCGACGACGACTCGGACCCCTCGAATCGAGCCACTCACTTTTATGTTTACAAACGAAATTATGCAATGACACTATGCAACTCGCATTCGTCAACGGATAATTAATGGTATGCAAAGCAGCACTGTAGCTGCAATGCTCCGTCGACGAAATTACGTGGGCAACATTTTCAACGGAAAAATTGACAAACTCGCGATAATATCTGCCTGAAATTATAAACATGCGGCTAAAAATGGCGCGACCAAGAATAACGTGAGAAAAGTAGGCCGAACAAATCGTCCAAGAAGAAACGAGATGTACACGAGACCCCCAAGAATTTGGAGAACACGCATGTACACGCATTATGTGAAGCTCTATGTGCGTGATATGCTTGAGCTCCTTCCCATTAATATACCATTTATCCTACAAAATTTGATCTGCACCTCTCACCTATCTTAAATCAAATGGAAAGTTCAGAAAAATATGCCTGATTGCTGTCACTTACGGAGTCGGCCAAACATTCAAGTCCTAGTTTACGATGAGATTATATTTACTTGGCACTGAGTGCGTAAAGTCGTGACAGAGTCTAAGCCACGTCATGGCAGAGAAAGGCCTGTCTCGCATTACAGGTGCTCCGGATGAAACTTCACATACGAGAACGATAAAGAGAGAGAGAGAGAGAGAGAGAGAGAGAGAGAGAGAGAGAGAGAGAGAGAGAGAAAAGGTGATAGAGAAGAGCAGAAAAGGATCGAGGAACGCGAGATGCGGGCGGATGGAGAGAAAGGATTCATGGAGAGCGCGAGAGAAAGAGGACGGTGGCTGAGTCCAAGGATGAGCTCGCGAGTGCTTTCTGTGCTCATAGTACTTATGATTGCACGACGACAGGTCACATATCTATATACATGTATACATAGTGGCTAAATTCAAGCTGGTAATAGCATAGCTAACGCGATTAATCTGTGTACCTCTAAGATTATCTAGGATCGGTTTTATTCACGATATAGGCGTTTTTTGCTTTTTTCATCTCATTTAATCGTAAAAAATCAAACAATGTAATCAAACGTAATCTTAATTCTGTTGTACAACTGTAACTTTTTCTTTCTGATTAGTCTTTCGATATATTCCGAATTATTATTATCAATACTTGAATATAATTTTATCATGTATATTTGCACTCTACACATGTATTTTCGGGCATTTACACCTTTCATGTTACTTAATGAATACACTTACCGAAGCAGCTCCAGAAGTTGGATCAATAGAATAAGATAAAAAAAAAGAGCCAATTGAAAGTGTCTTATGAAAAAGTATTTACTTGTCAAAATCTCTGACTCGTCCACTTATATCTAAACCTTAAATATTTTTTTTACGTATCATTAATATCACAATCACATCATCAATTGAAAGACAAGATTGATATTCATGTAGAGCTCGTCGATACAAATCAATGAGCAATCGCGCTACAGAAAGTGGAAGGTGCGCGAAAGAGAACGAACAAAATAAATAAAGAAAAATAATTACATAAGACATAGAAGGCAAAAACGAAAACTAGTATCTTATTAATATTTCTAAAAATAGATATATACTATTTAATCAATCGAATCAATCGAAAATCATTATTATTATTATTAGAACATTATTAGAAAATTATTAATATAATCGAAAAGCTCTATTGTACTATTTTACTATCTTTGCGCGCATATTAGTATAATGACTAATGCATCAATGAATGAAAAAAAGAACCAAATAACCCGCATTTTACTATGTTATTTACATATACATATGTATAACATCAAAAAAGTAAACGAATGTAAGCAAGATAGGTTGATCGATGTACTTGTATTAGTCACAACGCCATTACTACGTTAACACGAATATTATATGACTTATTAGTTAATGCAACATCGAGTCTGTGATCGAAGCATTATTAGTTGGAATAATAGCTTGGAAGTGTTTATTTCCTTATTTTATTATATTTATGGGCTTACCAAATAAATATTACCATTTTTTGTTTCAATACTCAAATGTAATTGAATAAATTTCAACATCCAATCTGTAATTCCATTATAAATTATTAATCGATTCCTTAATTTATGCGAGTTGAAAAGATAGCATAAGGGCATCATTATAAAGAATGAGAAAAATGAATGACTGAACGGAAAATAGATGTATATGCACTATTCGTTGATGTGCACTTGTCTCCATTAATAGTGGCATAATATAATTATAACGTGTTACGAGAGCGAAAAAATAAATCGTTAGAATTAAATCCGTGCTTCCTTTGCAACTCAGGTGCGCTCGTGCGCGACCCAGTTGCGCCACGCTAGCTTCCTTGCAAAACCTTAAAAATGGGCCATTAAACGAAATTAATGTGTTCTAATAAAGAGGCAACCATAAAATAATCTTGATAAATCTTTGAATTTCTAATAGCGATAGATATGTATAACAATGTTTAAAGTTTCGCATTATGACAATAAACTATAAAATAACCGATATTTTTACGCGTTGGCTTAAGCTTTAATGCAGTCGAAAGAGCCAGCACAGGTAACAATTATATACGTTGGTAAAAGATGAGGAGAGATCAAAAAAAAAAAAAAATAAATAAATAAATAAATAAATAAATAAAAAAATTGAAATCTTCGATTGTAATCCCACATGCAAAAAAGATGTAGTTAAAGCCTCGATTTAGGACGAGAGAAGTTTCAACACACACGCTCATTCGTTTGCTCTAATCTTATATTCACTTCCCCCATTGCATCAGCGCTAAGCAACGAATTCTTTGTTGGAGTTCAAGTAACTCGCAAGAAACCAAGACCAATTGCCAAACATCTGTCGGAAGTAACAATGACCTACGTAGGTTGCAACACGATTTAATGCAAAACAGTAGCTCACTTATCTTACGTCAGTGAGAATTTTCTTTCCGTTGTTCCGATGCTGCACATTTGTTCTAATGCTCCATTTAGATGTTTTATTCATTTATCATTTATATATATATATATAATAATTTCCTTATGCATACATTTACTTTCCTTACACACATACTTGATTCATATTTTTATTCATATGTTTCTGCTATAGTTCCTGATTCGCATGTAAATAAGTGCATTGCATTCTTATGTATGAATAACAATATGCTTTTTAAATTTCAAATTAATTAAATTTATAATCTCTTCATAATATATAGACTTTATTATGAAATCAAAGTAATATTTTGCAATGCCGAATTCGTTAAGAGTAATATATGAAATTTGATAACTAAATAACTAATATTTAAAAGAAAGGAAAAAAAATTTAAATTGGCATTGGATTCTTGCTATTCAATTTTTTATGCAAAATTGTGTTTCCTTTCTCGTTTACTAATTAAATGAATAAATTAATCATTTTTCAATCAATAATTATATTAACTTATTGAGAGAAAAATAGTAAAATAGAAAAATCAATCGAATTTGATAACTGTATGGAGATTTTGAACGACTCTTAACCTATGGATAATTGAGAGCAACTCCTATCTCATGGGTAATTGGGAGCGTCAATCTGTGCCGTACCTTTCTAATCCCCTCTACGAGAAAATCAGATAGAATTGTCCGAGTCGTCGTGGCTGTACAGCGCTCCGTGAGCCTGTAATATCATCTACGTTAAATAAGTGTATTTGCCCATAAAGCCTCGCAGCAACGTAATTCCGCAATAAAGAAAAAGCTGACTCGAGCGTAAAAGCCGCTAGGCAACTGTCTAAACTAATAATACATCGTTTTTACAATAATTATATAATTTTATATCGCGATGGCTCAAAGAGTGGACTTCTCTCATGATTTATCAGTCGCTGTCTTGCTAATTGAGCACTCGTCTGAGGATTTTTTTTTTTTTTTTTTTTTTTTTTTTTTTTATATTTCAATAAAACGCGTAAAACTTTTATCGTTGACTTCTGACCTTTTTACGGCTTTTCGACATTTCACCGTTTTGCAATACGGCTACAGCGCATCTCGAGATTCATCGCAAATGAATAAAACTGCAATGTGCCGATCCCGCTGCGTCCGTTATCCGCTCAATTCATTCGCTCGTCCTTCGTATTAATCCAACAGCGTTTAAATGAAGCGTTGATTTTCTGAAAGTTCTTTGAGTCGAGTGAAAAACATCTAAGTAGACGGCGAGAAGCAAGTCGTAAAAAACAGAGCCCACTTAACCTCGTAATCCCCTTCTTTCTGTTGCAGTCCTTCTTCGGCAGAACGTACAACAATCTCGGAAGCATATCGGAATGCAAGAACGGCGGAGTTTGCGTTATCAATAAGAAGAATCGCACAGCCTGCAAAGCCTGCCGCCTAAGGAAATGCCTGATGGTTGGTATGTCCAAGTCAGGATCACGCTATGGACGCCGTTCGAATTGGTTCAAGATACACTGCCTTCTACAAGAGCAGACTAACAGTAGCCAAAATGCAACGGGCCTTGGTGCGTCGCACTTTGGATCGGGATTTTTGCCAAGCTTCCTACCTGGGCTCCAGTCGCAGTCGCAACAAGGCTTGATTTATGCCGGTAAGGACGGTAGAGAACAGACCTCCCCGAGTCAAGAGGACCTAGCGCTTCAGTCACATTTACTCCATGTAGCTATGATGAAACAAAAAAGCCGGGAACGTAGCGATAAGTCACCCAGACCCGATGAAATGGCTCTTCAAAATCAACTAAAACTGCTCGCTTGGCAGAAGGAAGAAGATCGAGTAAGTCAGCAACATACAACGACGCCTCCAAGGAACAGCACGCCACCTTCGGCCTTTCCTTACAAGGATCTCGTCTCCGTCTCGAGCTCGTCCATGTTTTCAGTAAATTTTGCTCAAAAGGATGCAGCCATGCCTTCAAGTTCTCTCGAAGTTTTTAGACCCTTTTTGCCAATTTACAAGCGGACAACCGATACACCCAGCGACAGCGGCGCTTCATCTGTTGAGAGCGACGAACACGATGAATCGCGCAGTAATTCGGCCTTTAGTTATTTCAAACAGGATGCCTCTCCAACGACTGCTGAACGTGACTTTCCCAGGCGAAAAATCAACGCCACTGTGACCCTTACCACTGACTACTTAACGCACCACGGTCACGGACTAGTCTACCCGCCAGCCGAGCTGGTCACGCCGGCTACCTCGCATCACTCACTTAGAGGTGGTGACCTGCTTTTAGCCAGCCCTAGCCCAGGTGGTCTTGCTATCGAACAGATGGAGCCGATCGATCTGAGTATCAGGTCAACTAAGGGCTTTCATAGAAGCAACCAATCTCAGGAAGGCAAATCCAAAACTGAGCACGATAGCAGTGGAACGAACAATATAGGTGCACAGGAAAACTCTACCAAGAGCAATCCTCTCGATCTAAGCATAGATGTCAAGAGGCCGACTGCAGCAGAGATTTCGCTCTAGCTGCATTTGAAGTAAGCCTTTCATACCCGGTTGCCGTTGTTGCTTCCCTTCTCTCATTGAGATGATATTTACTTGAAACGCAAAGACCAAGAATAATAGCATCTCGGGTACTCAAGTAATTCGGCCAGAATCCTGGAACTATGCGAGCTGAATTTCGAATTTAAAATAAATTCGGTGATCCGATGTAAATACAATTAGAGATGTAGCTTTGATAGAACTTGATTTGTCAGTCGTCCCCATTGAGTCCTTTAAAGATATCATAAACCTGATACGAGACTTCACTCAGTCAGTTTGGCACTGCTTACTTAAGTACACGGAAATACTAGTTATTGGAAATATACAATTATTGTACAAAGTGCCTACATATCCCCATTTTATTACGCTTGCACTCGATATGATCAGATGTCGAGTGACAAGCTTTTCATTTTTCAGTATATCAGTATTTCTCTTATTTTGCACAGAGACGGGCTGGTCCCTACTGATATGTAATGTTAACATTTGACAGACAGACCTTTCGAATGAGATGTCATATATCACTGATCGACGAGAAAGCTCAACGGAAAACCTGTCTTTTCTTTTTTAAACAACTTATTAAAAGCTTGTAGACAAAATGTGTTCAAGAAACTTTGAAATTCATCTTATTCAAAACTGTTACGTTAACTAATTTAACGAAGCTAAATAACACTTCTTTTCTTCAATAGCAGATAGTTTCAATATTCATCTAAAACTCACCACTTTATAATTTTATTCTTACTTCTTTCCTTTCCATAAAGAATGAAACTTAATATCATGTGTGCATACGACTACATACACAGACGCGTGCGCGCGCGCACGCACACGCGCGCATACAAAGAGACACACAAATAAACAAACACTACACACATACACAAACATGTATATACATAAACACTCATTCGTACATACCTGTATTTCCACAAGCAGTCATAAAAAATGCATACACGTACGCAATAAGACATAATTATGCATATTGACATATATACACATTAATTACTACCAACACATATTCACACACGCGCACGCATACACACACGCACGCGCGCGCGCACACACACACACACACAGACACAGACACAGACACACACAAAAACGCACGTGTGTATGTGTATTTATATATATGTATTTGCGTATAGGTATAAATATCTGTATGTATGCAAGTATGTGTATATGCACGTTTATGCCTTATTGTGTGCATGTATGTTGTTTTATTAATGCATGTAATATGCAGGTCTATATATATATATATATATATATATATATATATATATGTGCGCGACCAAATATAAAAGTATCCGTCAGTGTATACATTTTATATTGGAGAAAAAGGCAAATGCAACGAACAGTCATAGAATTATTTTAATGTACTATATTGATATTATATATTATTTAATGTTCATATACAAGATCTATTTCTTATATACTCTTATAACAGTTTGTTTGACGCAAACTTAAAAAATGTGATCCTTAGTAAATCAAAAGGCCAGTAAACTACAAATCACGAAATAAACGTCTATATGAAAAAATGGCATTACATTAAAATGCCTAAAATGATTGTTTGCTTTTTTCATTTGTTATAATACAGCTGTAGGTAATGTAATTAAGGAACCAACGATTCGTTCTATGTTTTATTTGTAAATAGTAATTTTAAGTTTTAAAATAGTAAAAAGCGGCCAGTACTTAAGCTTATATTGATGAAATAAATATTTTTGTTTAATTTAATTATATAGAGTTTTATCATTACTTTCCCATCCCTTATTGTGAATAATCTTTTTTTATAAATTAACATTCTTAACGTTAATTAAAATATATTTTTAATAATTGTTCAATTACTTACACTAGAATTTTTAATTCTTCGTTAAAAAATATAATAATTTCATTATATCATACGAACAACTAATTATAATTAATTCAATTATATTAAATTATTTCAATAAAAATTTTCAAATAGAACTTCTTTTGAAAGTATTAAAAGTAAGTGTTATAATACCTTCATTAATACTTTTAATTTTAAGATGAAATTGAACTTCTCATATTATTATTTTATTAAAAGCTTTATTATTTCATTTTTAAAATTATTTATAAATTATTTATAAAATCATTTATAAAATTATTGATATAAGCTAAAAATGAAATTACATAAAAATTTAACTACGAAAGCGCAACACAAACGTACAAATTAAGAAAGATTTTTATCTATTAATTATTATATACCTTGATACACATTTTTTCTTAAAACAGTTTTTGCAAAATCTTGATTAATAAAAATAGAACAAAAAAAAGTATATGAAAACTTTACACTACATGGATTCCATAGAGTCGATAGTATAAATATGAATATAAAGAAAAATTATTTATTTATCAACTATAGAAACATTTAATTGCTTTAATAATTAATTTGTAATTTAACAATTGAATAATGAAATTGAGTTTAAAAAGTATCTAAACTGTTAAAATTTACAAATAAAATGTTTGTTTTAAATTTATTTAATTGTAATTTAATTGTCAGAATATCAATTAATCAATAAATCAAAAAATCAGAATAACGTATATATGAAACATTTATTTAATTAATAAAAATATCAAGTAATTAATATAACATATCCTACCGGTAGTATAATAAATTATACGTATTTGAGTATTTCTTTATAACGTATATCAAATACCTTTTCTTTTTATATATTAAATTTAATTGTACGAAAACATTTTTAAAATTCATAATTTATATATTTTTGCGTTAATGATATTTATTAACTTACTAATTAACTGATTACACTGTAATTAATATTTCACTGATTAAGTATATCCACTTAAGTAGTTTTACGTGAAGTAAGGAGTAACAAATAATGTTTATATATATGTAGATAATATTTTATAACTTTATAAAAAAAATTTCTATTTTCTTATTTAATTTTATTTTTTTCGAATAATACTTCACATTCTCATGTAATTTTTATTTACATAATTCATGCAATAATAATAATTTTGATATTTATGACTTTATATAGTATTTCTTTTTAAAAATATTCATATAGAAATAAAATATTTTTATAAAATACTGTAAATATAGTATTTTAATTCTATTTTTTATTACATATAATTTTATCAATTATTGAAAATTAAATAAATAAATTAATTTTATTATTATTTTAATCAATTTTTTATTTATCATTTGTCAAGTAATATTAATATTAATCATTAGTATTTGTAAAACATCCTGAATGTAATATTGTATTTGAAAAATAAAGTTTGAAAATTCTATGATTTTTAAATTTAAATACATGTTATATCAACGTTACATAATATACTTATTTATAAAATATCTATTTTATGCATTAATCTGCTAAATTATACAAATACATATTAATCTTAAATATGCACCATAACTCGAAATATCGAAAATTTAAGCCAATATTAAAAGGCTTTCTTAATAAATAGTTTCGGGTTTTTAATGTAGATTATATGTTTTCTATTTTATTTTACTTTATATCTATTTAAATATAAGAAATAGTATTTATATTAAAGAATAACAGTATCAAAAAGAATATCAAATAGTAGATAGATAAAAATGTTTAAATTCTTTCTCGAATCGTTAATAGTATACAAAATAATGTAGAATTTATAAAATTTATAATATAAACATAATATTTTATTGTAATGTTAAATTCTTAAAATGGTGTTTACTTTACTAAGATTAGAAAATATTAATAGTAAAGCTTCAATTAAAGAAAAATTCGAATATTTGAAAAAGTCGAAACGATCTTCGCAAGAAATATTAATTTTCAGATATATTAAGTAAATAGTATTTAATATTAAATATTTGATTTTTAATCGAATACCTTCATTAATTTTAAAGAAAATCGAAGGTTTCGAATAATACAAAAATTTATACATGCTCTATAGCTGTAAAAAGATGAAAAACTTTAATTCATGTTTACATTTTAGACATTAAATATTCATCCTTATTTCATCTTCATGAGAAACCATGAAGATTAATATAACGGAAAAACAGATGAAATGAAAAATTTTTGAATTTCAAAAAAAAAATGTTTGGTTTGAATATAAAAAAAAAACACGTATTAGCAATAGTGTCGATATCATGAGACTTACATAATCGATGTAAATTTACGAAATATAGTAAAAAATTGACAACATTGTTAGCAATATAGTATGGCGCGACGCTTATCGTAAACGTTCATGCTATGCTGGCATTCTACAAAATCGAAGAAGTCTAAACTCTACGTCATGAGATATAGAGAAAAATACAGAGAGAGGGAGAGAGAGAGAGAGAGAGAGAGAGAGAGAGAGAGAGAGAATGTAAGGCTCCTGTGTCTACTGCAAATGCAGCGTAGTATGTAACGGCACCTTTTCAAGATTAGATGAGGCAATAGCGTCGCTGAACAGGCTAGTGCACACGCTGATGCATATGACAATCACAGTTACTAGTAATGTTATTGACATCTACACGATGGTACAAATAATAGCCAGATGGCTTAATAGGTAGCTAAGGATTCACTTTCTCTTCCACGGTTCGTCACTCTTCTTCTCCTATCTCGTCCAGCTAACATTAGCAAACTCATTTTTTACTTGGGAGCCAAACAGAGTTACAATTACGCGCGTTAACATATATTATTTTTATTATATGTAAAAATTTATTCTTTATTTTTATTAATTTACTTTATTCTTTTATTGTCTTTATTATTATAATTGCTTCTTTATGTTATTATTTTATGTAAATTGACCATTAATTCACGCACCGTCGTATGTGCACTAATAAGTTATGCGTTGGTAGCCTCTCTCATCCCAATCTTTATTGCTTTCCCATTATTGGCGCTCTCTACTTAATATACTGGTTATCTTCTATAATTACGAAATATAAGAAATATTTATTATTTGAACTCTTAGAAATTTATGAGGAAAGAGCGCTTATATTCTATTTTTCCAAAATTTCAATCACTTAGCCTTTTTTAAATAAACTTTTCAATTTATAAAGATCATTCTGTTTTTCCAATATTATGTATTTTAATAAAAATGGAAACGAATTTCAAACCACTGATTTTATAATACTAAAAATGTTAAAAATTCCTTTTCACTTTTAAAATATATGAATTAGTCACTTATTTACTATCTAAAAGAAATGGCTGTTGGGATATGAATAATTTTTCAAATAAATAATTAAACGAAATCTTAAATAAAATGATTGCATTAACATAATTTAATATGTATTTTTAATTTGGTCAAATGCATTATTAGCTTGACAAACTGCATATTTTATGTTATTCTTTTCATTCGCTATTCTTATAATTTAAAGGATTTCAGATAATTTACCACATATGTTAACATTTTCCCTCGATATCGAAGTCTCTCGAATATCCCGCTATCATCTTCCTCCTCGTAACTTACCAGCGCCGAGAGATGCCATAATATATTAACGGAATAGTATGTATACTTACGACCAAGTGATGACAAGTAGGTGCGGTTACGAAATTACGAAATTACATGCTTATGAAATCGATGCGCGTGCAGGTCCCGATGCAAGATTTACACAAAAAGACTTGAATAGAAGAAAAAAAACGTACTCGATTCGTTTCATTCTATTTATTCTGCTTCTAACAATAGCGACAAATTATCTTTTGCGCGAAACCTATAGTTAAAAGCTTTGTACCGAAAAAAAGAAAATTGGAAAATTTGAGCATTTAATAAAGACGAGCTTCGAGGCATGAATAACATTTCCTGTAATATAGAATATTCTTCGGTATTTCGAATACAAATATAAAAGCTCGCTTGATTATTCTCTTGACTCGCATAAGGTTATAGGTGATTGAAACCACCA